ACCTTATCTGAACAAGTTTAAGATCTCGTACACATCTCCCAAAACTCTTCTGTCTTCCTTTGGATCGAGGAGATCCACACCAATCTCCAAATTAAACTTGTGACTAATTCCTATCTTTCTAAGAACTACTGTGGTAAATCTTACCAGCCTCCTCGAGGGCCCTCATGTCTTCCCTGAGGTGTGGTGACCAGAACTGGATGCAGTTACTTCAGTTATAACTTCACCACAGTGTCCATAGTCAGAGATATACAGCACAGAAACAGACCCCTTGGTCCAACTTGTCCGTGCTGACCAGATATCCTGTATAAATCTAGTCCCATTTTCCAGCATTTGGCCCATATCCCTGTAAACCCTTCCTATTCATATACCCATACAGATACCTTTTAAAAGTTGTAATTGTACCAGCTTTCACCATTTCCTCTGGTAGTTCATTCCATACCTGCACCACCCTCTGCATGAAAAAGTTGCCTCTTGGGTCCCTTTTATATCTTTGCTGTCTCACCTTAAACCTATGCCCTCTAGTTTTGAACACCCCCCTGGAAGACATTCCCTATTTACCATGTCTGTGCCCCTCCTGATTTTATAAAGTCCTATAAGGTCACCCCTCCACATCTGCTCCAATGAAAACAGCCCCAGCCTATTCAGCCTCCAACCCTGGCAACATTCTCAAAATGTTTTCTAAACGCTTTCAACTTTCACGACATTCCCTCCTATGGGGGAAGAGACCAGAAATACACGCAAAACTCCAAAAGTGGCTGAACCAATGTCATGTACAGCTGCAACATGACCTCCCAACTCCTATATTCCATGCACTGACGAATAAAGGTAAGCCTGCCAAATGCTGCCTTCACTATCCTATTTACCTGCAACTCCACTTTCAAGGAACTATGAACCTGCACTGCAGGTTCAGCAACGCTCCCCAGCACCTGACCATTAAGTGTATAAGTCCTGCCCTGATTTGCCTTTACAAAATGCAGCAGCTCACATTTATCTAAATTAAACTGCATCTGCCACTCCTTGGCCCATCTGATCAAGTTCCCGTTGTACTCTGAAGTAACCTGCTTTGCTGTCCACTACATCTCCAATTTTTGTGTCATCTGCAAACTTACTAACCATACCTCCTATATTCACATCCAAATCATTTATATAAATGACACAGCACAGGACTTGGCACTGATCCTTGTGACACACCACTGGTCACAGGCCTCCAGTCTGAAAAGCAACCCTCCACCACCACACTTTGTCTTCTACCTTCGAGCCAGTTCTGTATTCAAATGGCTAGGTCTCACTCTATTCCATGTGATCTCACCTTGCTAATCAGTCTACCATGAGGAACCTTGTTGAACATCTTGCTGAAGTCCATATAGATCACAAACACCGTTCTGCCCTCATCAATCCTCTTTGCTACTTCAAAAAACTCAATCAAGTTAGTGAGAGATGATTTCCCACACACAAAGTCATGTTGACTATCCCTAATCTGTCCTTTCCTTTCTGAATACACGCAAATCCTGTCCCTCAGGATTCCCTCCAACAACTTGCCCACCACCGATGTTCAGCTCACCGGTCTACAGTTCCCTGGCTTTTCCTTACCATCTTTCTTAAATAGTGGCACAAAGTTTGTCAACCTCCAGTCTTCCAGCACCTCACCTGTGGCTATTGGTGAAACAAAGCTTGGCAAGGGGCCCAGTAATCACTTCCCTAGCTTCCCACAGAGTTCTAAGGTATACCTGATCAAGTCTGGGAATTTATCCACCTTTATGCTTTTTAAGATGTCCAGCATGTCTTCCTTTGTAATATGGGCATTTTTTTCAAGATGTCACTATTTATTTCCCCACGTTCTCTCTCTTCCATATCCTTCTCCACAGTAAACACGAATGCAAGATATTTGTTTAATATCTCATCCATCTCCTGCGGTTCCACGTGTAGGCAGCTTTGCTGATCTTTAAGGGCACTTTTCACTTCCTAGTTACCCTTTTATCGTTAATGTATTTATAGACTCCCTTTGGATTCTCCTTAACCCTATATGCCAAAGCTATTTCATGTCCCCTGTTTGCCCTCCTTATTTCCCTCTTAAGTATACTCCTCTTCTAGGGATTCATCCAATCTCTGCTGTCTATACCTGACAGATGTTTCCTCCTTTTTCTTGACCAAAACCTCAATTTCTCTAGTCATCCAGCATTCCCTGCACTTACTGGCCTTGCCCTTCACCCGAACAGGAACAGACCGTTTTCAAGCACAGTTCCACCCAAATAACCTCCCTGGGTGTATTCCCAGGAATATCCTCCCTAAGTACAGCAGTAATGTTATCATTAATCAGAAATGCCACTCCTCCTCCTCTCTCTTTTCCCCCCTGCCCACCCGCCTCCTTTAGCATCTATACCCTGGAACATTAAGCTGCCAGTCATGTCCATCCCTGAGCCACGTCTCTACAATTGCCATGGTATCCCAGTCCCATATTCCCAACCACGCCTTGAGTTCATCTGCCTTGCCTGTTAGGCCTCTTCGATTGAAATAAATGCAGTTTAATTTATCAGTCCTACCTCATTCTCTGCTTTGTTCCTGCCTGCCTTGACTGTTTGACTTACTGCTTTTCCTGTATCAGTCTCAGACTACAGAGTCCCCCATCAAAATCGATCGCTTAGAACCTGACAGTATCCCTCATTACGTTAGACCCAGTCTCAGTACCAGAAAGCTGGCTTTCAGTGCTACATTCCCCTGAGAGTCCCTCACCCCCTACATTTTCCAAAGCAGCATACTTGCTGAGATGGGGATAGCCACGGGGGACTCCTGCACTACTTGCGTACTCCTCTACCTTTCCTGGAGGTCACCCATCTCCCTGATTGTATCTTCAGTTTATCTCCTTTCCTTTGACTGCCATCCATCACACCCCCTGATTCCTGTTAATCCCTCGCTGCCTCTGACTGCCACTCTAATCGATCCATGCGATCCGATAGGATTTGCAGCCAAACGCATTTCCTGCAGACATTATCATCAGTAACATGGCAACTCTCCCTAATCTCCCACATCCAACAGGAAGAGCACATCACCCTACTAAAGGCCATCTTTGCTCCTTAAAACTCGACAGACCTGGAAAATAGCACAGTCTGACTGCTCTTAACAAAACTGCTGCAGGTGAACATCATACCCATGTTTTAACTTTTAAAGATTAATCAAGATACGATAAAAATATATATTCATAACAAACCCACTCTGTTCAACATTGTAGATTTACAAAAAAATCTAGCCATTAAGCTGCTTCCTTGCTGTGATCTCCCCACACAGGTTTCTCGAAGGTGAATTTCACTGTTTATTTTTCTTAGAGAAACTCCGAAATCAAACAGCAGAGACTGTAGCTATGAAGGTTCACTGCTGGGTCAGACAGCTCTGTAGGTTTCTTTCTCCCTTGATTCACTTCACATCATGTGGACACTGCCTTTGTCTCCCTTCCTCATATTTTTTTAAAGGTGCTGTTGTTTTGATTTTGTTTTTCTTCCCAAAAGTTCCAAAACAATGCAACAGCTTACGAAACGGTAATTACTGCTTGTAGAATTCAAGGAAATCAGCTCCCAACACTGAAATAAAACATCAAAGGAGCAAGGGTCACTGGACCCAAAACGTTTACTCTGATTTCTCTTCTCAGGTGCTCCCAGACCTGCTTTTCCAACAACTTATGTTTTTGTGACCAAATTAAGCTAATCTTTCTATCATATCCCTCCATTTCTTGCTTATTCATGTGCTTACCTAAAAGTCCCTTAAATGCCTCTATCGTATCTGCTTCCCTCACCAATCCTGGCAGCGCCTTCCAGATTCCTACCACTATTTTTTTCCACATCTTTGAACTTTCACCCTCTCCTCTTAAATGCATGCCCCCTAGTATTAGACGTTTCAACTCTGGGGGGTTGGGGAGAATGATTCTGAGCATCAATGCATTTCATAACTCTATAGACTTCTTTCGAGTCTCCCTCAGCCTCTGCTGCTTCAGAGAAAAGAGCTTTTCTATCCTCTCCTTATAGCTCATACTTTCTAATCCAGGCAGCATCCTCATAAACCTCTTCTGCACCCTCTCCAGAGCCTCCATGTTCTTCTTGTAATGTGGTGACCAGAGTCGAACGCAACACTGTAACTGCGGCCTAACCGAATGCTTTTTAAAAAAAAAAAAATTTGTTTACAGAAGTGTAGGCGAGGTGGATTAGTCTTGCTAAATACAGGAATATGATAGGGGTCTGGGTCTGGATGGGATTTTCTCCAGAGGTTTGCTGCAGATGGGCTAAATGGCCTTCTGCACTGTAGGGATTCTATGATTCAGTCAGTTTCTCATTGCTAAACAAAGCTCCATATGTACGCACCCTTTGCCTTCTGTTCGACTGCAAACTGAAAATCAGTTTCTGCTTGAACAAGTTGCTCTATAAAGGAGGCTTGAAATGAGGGTCAGGTTACTTGCTTTCAAACCATACAGTACTTGAGTCAAATATGGTTTTAAAACAGTTCTCATTTCATTGCAGTGTAAAATTATAAACAACAGAATAGCTTTTTTTTTAAAAGAAAGTCTTCACATTGTGCTGTCTCTTTGAAAGAACAGTTGGGATTTGTCCGAATCACCCCCACATTGATCTAAGTTGTATTAATTCCTCACTTTTAAATGCTGTCAACTTTTTCCATTTTAAAATTCGTTAGAGTCAGTTTCCACCACCCATCCAGCGCTCCTTCCGGTGGAAAGATCCAGATACTGACAAATCTCCTCTGGTACAGAAACTGCAGAACTCCACGTTGAGTCCAGTAAGTTGTAAAGTTTCAAATTGAAAGATGAACTGCTGCTCTTGGAGCTCCCATTTGAGCTTAATTGTTACAGTGCAAGAGGCTGAGGACAGAGACGTCAAAATGGGAGTGAGCAGAGAATTGAGGTAACTAGAAGCTCTGAGTGCAGTTTGCAGACTGAACACAGGTTGTCACGCAAAGCGATCACCCAGTCTCCGTTTGCTGTTCAGTGTGGAGCAGATCGTATGAACAGTGAGTACAGAACCTATTTTGCAAGAAGTCTGTGGAAGCCACTCTGCTTGGTTTTTCCTTTTAGGGTTTGAAAAACGTATGTTGCTAGTGTGGGTCTGTCAAATTACTGCATCCGTTCAGCTCAATTTCACAACCTGTTTTGGTGTATTGCCTCACCTTTTTTTCCTTGTGAAATTCATTTGACAGGATATTAGAAGGCGAGGAGACATGAAGCTGAGACCGAACATCCTGTCAGGATCTGACATTTCACCCAATTCATTGCAGCCTCAACATGATCAGATTTTGAACATGGAGAAAACACCGTTCTCTGTGGAGAGAGACTGTCCTCGTGTTCTGTATGCAGACAAGGATTCAGCAAATCGTCTGCCCTCTCAAAGCACAAGTGCAGCTTCAGCGGGGAGAAACCCTGGAAATGCGGCGACTGTGGGAAGGGATTCAATTATCCGTCTCATCTGGAAATTCATCGCCGCTGTCACACTGGGGAGAAGTCTTTTGGGTGCTCTTACTGTGGAGCTCGATTCAGGCAGTCATGTCATCTCACTGTACACCAGCGAATTCACACCGGGCAGAGACCGTTCACCTGCCCAGAGTGTGGGAAGGGATTCACTCAGTCATCCCATCTGCGGACACACCAGCGTGTTCACACGGGGGAGAAGCCATTCACCTGCATGGAATGTGGGACCGGATTCTCTCGGTCATCTGAATTACTGAGACACCACCAGGTTCACATCAGGGAGAGGCCTTTTAAATGCCCAGACTGTGGAAAGTGTTTCAAAGGTTCTGGGGAACTGGCCTCTCATCAACATGTCCATACTGTGCAGAAACCGTTTAGTTGCTCCCACTGCGGGACTGGGTTCAGCAAATCTGTTTATCTCACTCAACACCAGCGGATTCACGGGGAGAGGCCATTCGCCTGCCCCGAGTGTGGGAAGGGATTCACTAAGACGTGCCATTTGATGACGCACCAGCGAGTCCACAGTGGCGAGAGACCATTCACCTGCTCCACGTGTGGGAAGGGATTCAGTACCGCGTCCCGTCTGATGACACACCAGCGAGTCCACACTGGGGAGAGACCATTCGCCTGCCCAGAGTGTGGGAAGGGATTCACTCAGTCATCCCACCTTATGGAGCACCAGCGAGTTCACACTGACGACAGATCTTTTCAATGCCCTGACTGTGGGAAATGCTTTAAAAGTCCTGGGCAGTTGAAATCCCATCAACTCGTTCACACTGATGAGAGACCGTTCAGGTGCTCTCACTGCGGCTCTAGGTTCAAGCGCTCCTCTCAGCTCACTATTCACCAGCGCATTCACACGGGGGAGAGGCCGTTCTCCTGCATGGAGTGCGGGAAGCGATTCGTGCACTCGTCCCACCTGCTGACACATCGGTGGGTTCACAGTGGGGAGAGGCTGTTCTCCTGTTCTAAGTGCGGGAAGAGATTCACTCAGTCTTCGGCCCTGCAGACACACCAGCGAGCTCATACTGGGGAAACGCCATTCACCTGTACTGTATGTGGAAAGAGATTCACTTGGTCATCCAACTTCCTGAGACACAAGGAAGCTCACAAATCACGACAGTGATTGCATTTTTCTGTTGCATCCAGGATTGAACCATGCTCATGCAGTCTGATTCTGCTCATATTCATAATCTTCAACCCATTCTGTGCATTTAATAGTGTGGATAAAAGAAATAAATGTATTCAGCAAATTTGTCAGGTCTTGATGTCTACAGCATACATTAATAGGGATAGTAGGAACTGCCGATGCT